CTTAAAGTGATGATGGATCATGACAATATGCTGTATTTAATATTGTTTTACACATGCATTTAAACCTCAAATGGCTCGATCAATTAATGTTTCTAGATGGCATGACTTTGAGATTTGCTTGTGTGAATATAGTTTTTTGCTTAGCTGCTTTGTTCCAGCAAGCCCATGTTTGCCTCATGAGTCAACAGTCTCACATAAATTGAATAACCAAGCTAGGTTGTTATATGGTATAGCTGTAATAATTGGGGCTATGTCCTGTGCGCGGCCACCATATTTGCTAATGTAAATACTTAAATAACAATAAAGTAATTAAAGAAATATAGCTAATAACACGTTCTAAAGCTAAGTGAAATATTCTATTTAGAGAGAATCCTGCAAAATTGTACCTTTATTTCAAATATTCTCCACAAATTTTTAAAAATGCATTTTATAATGCTAATCGGATATATTTAACCAGTTTTTTTTGCAGAAAAAATTATGTGTTACTAAATTCTACAAAAAACGATTGTTTTATATGCGTTGATCTTGTGCAGAATTTGTGCCAAGTTGGCGCTGCGACTGCAGGGCCAAACTGAAAGCTTACATGCAGAATTTCTAACAAGTTGGCGCTGCATTTGCAGAGCCAAACTCAAAGGTTGGCTGCAGAATATCTAACAAATCAACATGCTTATCTTTGGATTATGTTTTATTTTTGTATACAATACGGCATCAAAAGGATGATTCAAACTACCTGAAGTAGCTTAAAATGTACAAGTTTAGTCAAGTTACAATTCAACATTGTATAGCATCCATATTTTGCGCTGTGGCCCATGCTATCAAATCTTCCGTCTCCAGCCCAAACACTGTCCTTTATTCCCTTTAACTGATTAATTAACGCAGCTCGAGATTTTTCCCAGTATTGAAGTATTAAGGGGAACATAAACTTTCTTTGATGATAAAAAAGGTCCTTGCACAGTATATTTTGAGGCCCAAGTGCCTAAGGAGCAGCAGAACTTTGCTAATCGAGGATCCAGATATAAGAATAGCAAAACTCAACAAAATATTGCCAGCAGGATACTTTCCCAAAACCAATGGCTGACTTCTCCACGTATAACAGCCTTTGCATGATTTACATGTTTGTTCTACTATTGCCATTGTTCCACGAACTTTCACATTAACGTTTGGTGAACCTGCCTTGCAGTCAAAGCAGAACAATGAAAATAGTGAAACCAACATACTGTAGAACACTATGAATTTTGGTTCTGTGTCAGCCAATCTAAAAGAGAAAAGACAATACCATTAGTAGATTTTTTAAACTAGTAATTCAGTTTTTTCCAAATTCCAGTTTTTTCCAAATCTGGAGTCTTTCATCAGTAAGTATAGCTTAATACAGTGTGGGAGTACAGGAATGATAACGTACCTCACATCCTGTGATGTGTTCTCCCGCACTTCTTCTTCATCGAGCTCGTCATCATCTGATGAGTCGGTTTCTTCATCTTCCATATTGGCATTCCAGTCCGGATCTTTCATTCTATCCGTCAAATCGTCTTCCGAACTGTTTCCCAGTGATTCATCTTCATCATTCCAAGCCTCCTCCAAGATACCTATATCTTCACCTGTTGTTTTGTTCTCGTTCTCACTGCTACTCTCGTCGTCAGATGAACTGGAAGACACCTCTTGTCGCAGGGATTCAATTATCTAGAAGAACAAGAAATATAATAAATCAGTTTTATGTTCATATTTTGTGAATTTAACTTCTATAGTTGTTCCTAAAATATATTCCTACAAGAAATATAACTACGCTATGCCCGCTTCCACACAATCACGCAGCTATAACCTACCTTTTTTAGGTTTATATTCTCCTTTTTGAACCCCATTATTCGCCTATTTCTATCTAAAAGTCGCTGTTTTTGATTTGATCGGATTTTTTGTAAATATTCAATTCTCTCCTTTTCTTGGCCACATGTGGCACAAGAAAGCGATTCCTGAGCATCCTGTGACATGAAACTCTCATCACCTTGATCGACATGTAAAACCGGTGAATTTTCGCAAGTTGTTTCATCTACTTCGCTTACTTCAACGTCTTCGTCGGAACTTAATAATTCGTCCATATCCTGGTTCATGCTACTCGATACTGGTGATAACTGGTTACGTATTATCTATACAAAACAAAAGAAGGGATATTGTTGCAACAGGTGTGTGCAGCTCTCAAAGGACAAAGATGAATTACTAGCTAGCAAAACAAGAAAACAGAAACTATATATGAATAGCCAAACCATTGCAGTTATATGTGCAAATTATAATATACGACTCACCCTTCTCTTTGCACGCGAAGTGCTTGGCATTTCGTCCAGAATGGCCGTATCCTTGGTTGGAACAGACCCTTGTATTAGGTATTTTGCCCTTGGTTTTAGCTCGTCTTGTACCCCAACGTGATACCTTGTTGCAAAACAAGATTTTTCGAAATGCGCCGAGCATATTACAGATGAACTGCTTGGAGAAAAATTCGGTCGATGTTTTTGTACAAATTTTATCCATATTTTCCGTTGCTCTTCGTTCGCAGGAAACTTGTGCATTGATATCCCTTCAATGTGGTAGGTATTTGTGCAACTGCGCAATCCAGGACCTCCACAAACGCAATATTTACCCCTTTTCGCTCTCTTCGTGCTGGAAGACATGCTAGTGTTGGATTGAAAATGCAATGATGCTCTCAAAAAACATGGTTTTTTATATATGCTTGTTGGATTGAAAATTACTCTCAAAACGCAGTGTTTTTTATACAAGTGTAGCGTGCGTGTGTTGAATAGGTGTATAGTTTCCTATAGGGTGTGTATGCACGTCATCTTAATACGTGACAAAACATAGTTTCTTGACTGATAAGGCGAGAAAGGAATTTCGTTTGACGCAGTAACCACAACCAGTGAATTCAGTGAATAAGGAATAAATTGCGCGCAAACAGGATATCGATAGAGCACGCGTTTCAGCAAACGCGAACGGATGAAAATGTGACACACCTGAAGGCTGAAGCGTAAACAAGCAAGGAGCTTTCTGTGATTAAAGTATGACGTGCGAACTAAGGTACTTCTACTGTAGTTTATAGGTTTATAGTATATTGCGTTCCGGTATACTCCGAGGTCAACTTCGTTTACTTCAATTAATTTAATTTCGCCTATTCTATCACATTGTACGAACTGTATAAATTCTAACTATATCCAACTATCTACGATGGACTATATATATAACGGAAATATCTACAATATGCCACAACTAACGACATCTGAACAGCGTCAATTTAATCTAATCTATAAGCAAAACCTACACTGTTACTAGAGCATCGATTTCGCATTTCGGCGGCTTATAAGCGATAAATCGTCGTACGGTGGATATCATTGCATTGATTAACTAATGTATTGCATCTAAATAACGTACATTTATTTGGATTTTGTTTAAATTATCAAAAAATTCCAATTCAACGCAGTTGAAGCTAAATTGTTTATAGTATTTACAGATAGGAAGAGCGCACTGTGTCACACTGCATACGTCATCATGACCTCTTGGCCGCGCGAGGAATTTCATCAGCTAAAATTTTCATAGCCCAACTTTAAACGCAAAATTCACAAACTTCTAGTTCGAAGTTTTCAACAAGGTTGGTATTAAAATGATCAGAAAAGATGAAATTTTCAGATAATGTAAAAATCACAAAATCGAAATTTTCATTGCATATACACTTTAATGCAGTGGACGATAACAGACATAACATGTTTTTGACTTTTTTGTTTAATATTGTTGCAGACTTGCAGTTTCCTTGAATTTTTCAACGTATCGTAAAGGAAAGTATTCGTATAGTAGAGTTTCTCGGTTTATTCGGTATTGCATTGGTTGGGTCCTCGCCTGTCTACACTACAGACGTTTTGAGTTATTTGAAATCCTTAGTTTTATTATACAGATATGAATTTGGCAACAATGTTTATTGTTTATACTGTATTATCATTGTGTTTCCCTCCCAGATCGAAAGCGTTGCAATACTGATAAAATAAATAAATATACACAGTGCCAGTTCATTGTAAAAATATCCAAGCTTTTACAGTCTATATAAACGATAGTAAAACACACATGACCGAGCACATGACATTGTTATTGAATATTGAGTATTGTTTCTATTGAGTATTGACTGATTTTATATATCGGCATCCTGATTTTTTGAGTGCAGTACATCGTCAATATATACAACTGTCTCTACTGTATTTTCTTCAAGAAAAGAAAATTCAACCGCGATGCAAAACAACATTGAATTATTAAAGTATACTATGACGTATATAGATAGTAGCGCTATATAATTATGATATTACAGCACTGGAGATGCCATCATAGTTAATGGAGCGAGATGGTTTGGAAGCTCGTTTACTTCCGGTATTATGTTATGTTATTCAATTTTGTGGTCACATGACTACGAACGACTACGGCGTTGTGACCAATATGGCGACTATTAGCGAAGAAGGAATGCAAACCATGGGAGAAATGTTTGAAAGTGGGGAAGCTTTAGCGGAAGAAAATGAAAAGGCAGAGCTTGATGTGTTAGTTGATGTGATAAACGAACACTTGGACTATTTTAATGAGGACAAGGACTTCAAGAAAGAGGTTGAAGATGCCGTTCAGGAGATTGAAATACCACCAAAACATCCGTGTCCGAATTGTACGAAAATATGCAAATCAAAAGGCGGTCTCACTCGTCATATACGATCAAAGCATACGCTCCTTGAGACAAATGATGGCAAAGATGACAACAGCGCTAGCACTGCAACCAAGCCAACCATTTCAAAAGCGATTGTAGAGCCGGGATTTGTTTAAAAAAGCTAACTCTAAAATCAAGGATAATTTATATGGGGAGGAAATCGTTATTATTTGTAAGAATCTAAAGATGGCTATCTTCGTTTTGTGTTGACGTTCTCGATAAACTTCATCGACGTTTCATCAAGAAATCGAATCAAGATACTTTGGTAAGTGAACTATACAAACTCTTGTCGAAAGAACCTGAGAAACTTGTCGACAACCAACCAACTGATAAACGGTGGTCAGTCGAGCAAATTAGAATCGCTGTGAATCTGTTGTTTATCCATTTACCTGAGTTACTCGTTTTGGCAACTTGCAAGAGCCAAACTAGTGAACAAACTAAAGATATACCTGAAGTGAATGAAAGGGAACATGGTCCCCTTTCTTACTTCCCTTACGAAAATGTTCTATAGAATCCTATAGAATATGGTATAGAATATTCGATATCCTATAGAATATTCTATGGGACTTGCAATCCTATAGAATATTCTATTGCCATATTCTATAGAAGTTCCAGATCCTATAGAATATTCTATTGCACAAACATCCAATAACATATTCTATAGAATATTTTCTAATGCCGAAATAGTATGGGATATTCTATAGATAATTTCATAGAATGTGATAAACCTATAATTGATATCGATTTAAGCCTAATTTATACTGCCTAGTACACAGCAAAAAATCGGTGAAAGTATTGTGATTTTAGAAAAATATTTCTTAATTAAGAAATCTGTTTTTTGCAAGACAATTTGTTCTTGAAATAAGTTTGTTCCTTTCAAGACAATTTGTTCTTGAATATTTTCTAATAATTACTTAATAATATACTTATTTCACAGTACATTTGTTTTCTTCAATGAGATATTAATATGTTTTCTGATTTTCTCATCGCGCATTGACTGGAAGCCTGGTACCTAGTTTACGTGTGAGGGCGCAAAGCTTCATGGGATAGCGTCATTTTTAAAATTGCAATTTCAAATTACTTGCACATGGACGGATTTGAAGGGAAATTTTCCCTTATATTTTCAACCCAAACGATGGAAACGGCATTGGAAAGTTCTTAAAATGTTATTCAGATCTCACAGGTAAGAATATTTTCATGTTTGATGCTATTTAAGCACTTTAATTCCGAAATAATGTAGTGAATTTGAGTCATGTGTGAAAATATTCCGTTGAATGTTTGAATTTGCCGCGTCAATTTGCATAAAAACATACAAAATTTCGGTTTCTAGCGATGGAAGAAAGAATAAAATATAAATTCGAATATATAGTATTGGGAATTCTATACTAAATTACACACTGTTGTTTAATTATAACAATCCACAATATAAAGTGTCTTTGCCTTTGGCATAATTTGGCACTGCTAGACGACCTTTGTCAAAGTATATGAAATATATTAATATTATTAAGATATGTTATCATTTTAATACTTGAAATATAAGTATTGATGTGATATTTTCAGTGTGTTGAAAGCTGCAAATTGCAGCACAATATTTGCCCAAAATTCAAATTTGGGAATGGGTTAATGAGCTTCAGGTGTATAAAATGATATGTTTGTAAAGCTGGAATAAGCACTATAGTCACTAGCTAGTGCTGAGACAAAGCCTCAAATATTGTCCGAGATTAAATATTGCAGCTGGGCTATAGCCCGGCTCAAAATATTGTTCTCAACAGTTGGAAATGTCTGGATTGAGTTGACAAACTGGTGTTGTGAGGTAAAAATAGCACTGTCCAAGTTTATTGCAATTGATACAGAATATCATAGCCTTGCCTATAGCCAGACTAGTCTTCTTAATTAGTGCTTTATATGAAGAAAATTATATACTGGCCTAGCTAAAGTGGCCCCCCAAGCCAGACAAATCAGTCTGGATCTTGTAAACACCCCTAAGCTGGGCCGTGGCAACTGGTATGTGTTTAATTGAGTTAATTAAGATTTATTTAATGTTAAATTTAGTATTTATGGGTTAACAGGACATAATGGCAGATGTCTTGTTAACCCATTAATGTTCAAGACTCTTCCCTTGACGAGTAACATTGCTGACAGAGTAAATACTAAATTTACACAGACAATGAGATAGAGTGAGCGTTAGACAGTAAATACTAAAGTTGGGCACATGGGGTACATGAAAGGGTTAATCCATTGAGCAAAACTGCTATCCCCTTGAAGAGTAAAGTTGTCTGGTGTTAGACAGAGTAAAATAATAAAGTAGGATGCAATGAAACTTAATGGGTAACATTTACTTATTATTCATTTTTGTATAGTAATGCCATGCCTAACAGATATTGTTTCCAACTTGGAAGAGCAATTACGACTCTTGCAAAATGGCCAGTGTTCTTCTTCAAGACCATATGCATCAATGATGACCACAAGGATTAACAATGATGAACACAAGGATTAACAATATTGTGAAAAAAAGAAAGTATCTACACATAACAGTAACATTGACACTTATTCTAATAAGAATATTCACTAAATAGAGTAATCCTACAACAGTTTGACTAGCCCAATGTTTATTTTTAAATTCTTGCATAGTTGTTTTGTTTTGTGGACAATATGCCACATACATTGGTTCTGTTGGCAGCACTTAATTTTAATTTAAGCCTGGATATTTACATCTGTTTATACATACTTAATATTGAAATCCAGGCACATTGAAATCTTTGCTGCAAAGTTTATGTAAGTGATATTCTCCACCAAATAAAATTGCTATAATTGTTTCCAGGCATGAGGCAGTTGTATCTTGCAGCTGCTGACTACTTTTTAAATACCCATTTCCTACTGTAGTTCAATGGTAGCTATAAACATATAATTCTGATCATGGTTAACTAGCTGTTTCACTGATGTTTAGTTAATAATTAAACAAGTTCTTTATACAATGGTAATTGTGTTTTAATAAATGTTTCTTAATAGAAACTTTTATAAATCTTATAGAATCTAATACAGAATGTTATATAGAATATTCCATACCTTCTATAGAATATTGTATAGAATTCAACTGAATGTTCTATAGAATATTCAGTAGAATATTCCATATAATATTCCATAGAACTTTCTATAGAATTTTTTATAGGGCATTCTATAGAATTCAACTGAATGTCCAATAGAATATTGCATAGAATATCCCATAGAATAGGTTCCAACATCCTTTAGAATATTTCATAGAATATTCTATAGAATTCAAATGAATATCCATTAGAATATCCCATAGACTATCCCATAGAATATGCCATAGAATAGGTTCCAAAATCCTTTAGAATATTTCATAGAATATTCCATAGAATATTTCAATGTAATATTCTATAGAATATTTTCGTAAGGGCTTGATTGGATCAGTCATTTCCAAAATGTTCAAGACGAGCAAATTTAGAAAGAAATCCATGTTAGAAAGTACATTAACAAATAGAGAAGAACTTCAGGATCTGCTGCAATCAACGAAACGACCTGACAATGAATATATTTTATCACTTTCAAGAGGAGGACTGTGGACTCCATGTGACGATTTAATTGCTATTGGGTTTGAAATAGAGAAAATATTTCGATATAAAACTGTTGCTCGTGATGTTACAAAACCTATTCCAATTTCAGAATTACGGACTAATATACTAGAAAATCCAAAAGTGAAGAGCCTTTGGAGCAATATCATACAAGAATGCCCTTACTACTTGATATCTTACGATTGTTCGAAAGTTTGCCTTGAGAACATAACCTTTTTATATTTAAAAATTAGAGCATTCTCCTTTTCGAGAGATTTAATTAATAAATATAGAAAACAAAACAGTTCAAATAGCAAGAAGGCCTTAAGGAAAACTCTACAACAGAAATCAGAGGTCAATCCTGAATAGTTATAATTAGGGATGTGCCAGATACGTTCTGGATTATAGACGGGTAAACTTTGTTTACATGGTTTGAGACAATTTGCCTGCAGGCCTGAAATGCACCAGCAACTTATTTTGTATAGTCTAATTATGCAAACATCTAATAGAACAACTTGTGTGTTAAAGCTTTCATGTCCAAGCATCTTGGCAGGCAAAATATATCAAATTGTGTAAACAATGTTTATCCTTCTATTTGGTAAAGTTTTGTCGACCATAAAACTACCTTATTTATAACTAGGTTTTAAAACTGTGTGCAATTAAATTGAAATAAGTGGAGTCCAAGAATAAACACACAATTGTTATTTCTTTTTTGTTTTTTTGGCTTTGTTCAGAGGCTCCTCAATGATGTCGTTCCACCTGGATTTTTCTGCACTGCGTTTACCAGTGTTACCAGCTTTGATAGGCACAATGTTGCGTTGGACATCAAGGGCTCGATCATTATATGCAAACTGTGATGCATCGGGATTATCCGACCTTCTGCCCTTTTGCCTCTGATTTCCGAAATATTCTTCCAACGGGTCTTGCTGGAAGCGTTCTGTCAAAACGCTATCAACACCTTGGGAAAGGAGGAACTTGACAGTCTCGAAAGTTGAATGCACAGTGATTTGAAGGCCTTCATAAGTTTGTTGCGAAATGAACATCTTAGCTTGAGCTGTTGGTAGGAAATTTCCAGGACGAGTCTCGACAGCTTTTTTCCAGTCATGAAAGTACTGGAGGAAAGTGTTTACTAACCATTCAAACCTTTTATCATCCTGTGATCTATATGGTCCCAGGAGTACATTCCGTTTACAGGTAGCCTCATTGTATGCACGAACATTTAAACAGTCGAAAAAGTCATTCATTAATTTACAAAATCTTGCTGTTTCATTTGCTTCTCCTTCTGGATAGCTACGGATAAGTGCTTGGGCCATCCTATTGCTAAGGATCTGTGTTATGGAAAAATAAAACAAAGCAATTAGAAACAAAGTACAGTAATACTGTAATGATCAACATATCAAATTTGATGATTCAGCGAGTGCAGTGGTTTTCATTGGACTCATAGGAATTCCTTAAAAAATACACTGCATATTTACTAACATTTAGTTACAATCCTGATTTATACAACTTTATATAATTATATTTCTTGGCAAGCAATGTCATCACGAACTATTGCTTGAGCCACATGCTTTAATATGATATATAAAACTGTATGGATTAACATTTGTTGTTTAGAAATATAAACATTGTCAATTTCATGCTCATATTTCACTTTGGAATTTGGATTAACAATTTTAATAGATCACTTCCGGTTTTGAAACAAAAATTGTCCAATCACGTTAGCACCTAAAGTTGCTTGTTTTGACAACATGAGAACAAACTGGAGAAGAAATATATCTGTTATTTCTAAAATGGATTGTTGTTTTCGACCCATTTGTGACTTGCCCTTGAAAATATAGACAAGATGTTCATGAGGACAGGAGAAGTATTAGTTTGGAAACGAATTATTAAGAAGCCAAGGCACTTCCTTTCCTGGTATGATTTAAATCTATACTATTTTAAAAATATAAACAAATCTAGAAATCACCTGGGCAGCAAGATTTACTCTCATCTTTGAATAAGATGTTAACATGATATGTTCAATTGTTAGCTTAGGAAGTTGGTGTATCCCCAGTTCCAGATCAGAATAATATAAGTCTGATATATAGTTCCACAATAAAAATTGATCATTGTTCCACATGCACCTTGATTCCAAACCAGAACCAGAATTAAGCAAGCAGTTTCTAGCCGTTTTTAATAGATGTGGAGCATCAGCAAAAAAACAAATCCACTTTCCTGGGGCAAAGAGGTTTTTTGTTTTATACACAACTTTCTGGTTGTTAAGTTTTTCACCAATATAAATGTGGAGTTGATAAAATTTGCGGTTTGGTGAAGCCCCATCACTGACTGCAGCAATAACATTCAAGTTTGCTTTAAGTTGTAATATAGCAACACCACGCCAAAAAAGTGGCATTAATTGATAGGAGACCACATCTCGGGTGAAAAAGTAACCAAGCATAAACTGCAATTTAGTGGTTATTCCCCTGACATAGAAAGCAAGTACATGGGTAGCTGGTTCAATTTTATCAAATGTTGAATAGTTGATATTTGGATCACCGAGATCCACAAATCCAATCAGGCGTCCAGAATGTTTATCAAACACTAAATTACATTTAATCTTCATCTTGTCAAACATGACAACAATCCACCTGTCTTTATCCAGGAAACCCTTTGTTCTGGAAATCAATGACTTGATGTTCTCAGGCAAGTACCCTGCTCCTGGTTTAAAGTTGTTTCTGTAGGATCTCAAAGTTCTGGAACTAGGTAACTGCATTGTTCCAGAATCTCTCAATTCTTGGTAAACAATAGGCGACTTTGAATAAATAGACAAACAGAACCGTATAAAATGTGGATGCCACCTGTTACCAAAGTTTGATTGTTCATTCAGTGCTTTCTTCTGTTGCTCCCATACAAGTTTCATGTGTGGAGTTGCTTCTAATGATGTGTTAGTGATGATACTTGTAAGTTCTTTCTCCAAACCAGTTTCCATTCTAATACCATGATGTTTGATCTCATTCTCCATTCGTTGTACTCTCCTTTCGAGTTGTGCACACTTCAACTTGGCTTCTTTCAAATTCACCCTTGTGTCTTTTACAGTTGCAATTAGTTGTTCTTTGGAAAGGCATGACAGTGGTGTTTTACACTTAACAGAAGCCACATTGAAGTTACCTACATTGCTGTTTGATTCTCGACTGCACGATTCGCATTGCAATTGTTTACTGTCACTTAGTATGGATGAAACCAGAACACGACATGAAAGCGCACGACAGTATTCAACTGTACGATATTGTGGAGAAGGGTCATTTGGTAACAGGGGAACAAGTTGTGTTTTCACTGATTTGCTTGACTTCAGGGAAAATAGAGTTCCTTTGCAAATACCCAGAGATACAATTTCGTTACAAAGCGTCTTAAAATTACAGCACTGCAAAGAACGCTCGTTTGAAACGTATATGGGATGATCATTGGGCAATGCCCAGCCATAAACAAGAACAGCATAATTAAGAGTAGATTCGACACGTACAGAAAACTTTGCAATCAAGTACTCACTTTCTTTAAACTCAATAACAGTGTTATTTCCTTCTTTGAACCAATTCCAACCTTGAAAATATGGGTACCTTCCAGCTTTTTTCAAATATGCATCGAACTTATCAAGAGAGGCATATATAATTGTAGTTTCTTGAGAAACATGCCTTGGAGCTGGTTCTTTTCTCGGCGCACTAGTGAAGCTTGTGCTAAGATGATCGAAGCTTTTGACGGGGAGATTTTCTGTTGGAATTGAACCAGTTTGGAGGGACTTCCTTTTGGAAAAGTTTTCAATGTACTCCTCTTTAAAATGACTCTCACAAATATGTATGTTGTTGTTTTCGATCTGTGTCTTCAAGTTCGCATCCAACTGTCTCGTTCGTAATATCGCGTTAATCCAACCGTTTCGTGCTTCTTCCTTACGATGAAAAGTAAATTCGCTGTCTGAATTACGAGGAACTGGAATTTGAAACAAACTCACGTTTTTGTACCGCCTACTGTGAAAACAATTGTAAAAAGCGCAATTGGGCATTTGTGTATCAAAATTACTACGATATTATATTATCATAATTTGGCGCTTTTTTGATTGTAGTCGTTCGTCGTCACGTGACCTTAGAATTTAATCGGTTAAGATAATAATTACGTCATCGCAAAATAGGGGAAGCTTCCAAAACATCTCGCTCCATTAACTATGATGCCATGTAGCCTATCACTGTCTCCGTTTCATAGCTGGTCTAAATTATATTGGTAGCAATAGCTAAATTTTGCCTTCGAGAAAGAGCAATATTGCTGATGTGACTGCTCTCATATTCCAGGCATCACACTGTCGTTATTTTGAGGGAAGTGTGAACGCCTGAGCAGGCGTCTTCTTCCATTGAAAAGCACAAAGGCGTCAAAAGTTTGACCAAACTCTGGGTACGAGGTTGGCTGGAAATTAAGTTCAAACTCAGTTGAAACAGAATTATAGCTAGATTATATAGTAATAGTATATTATAGGTAAACAAACATAATATATGGTATATAGTGCCAAATGGCAAATGTGTGTAAAAACTGACTTTCGAGTTATTATTTTAAATTAAAATGCTCCCAAATCATCCATCTACACAGCGTGGTAATTTATAATTAATATTTCTTGCATATATGGGCTCTCTTTCTAAGCCTGTGCTCAGTTATACGTTATGTAGTTCAAACCACTACTGGATTTTAACAGAAGGAATTATAAAATTAGGTTAGGGTGAAAACGCATTCCCAAATATACAATGAGTACTCTAAAATTGATTGCGCTTGAACTTTGAACTTTGAGTCGATTCGAAGATCAAATTCACAGTGAAATATAACTCTATTGGATTACAAACAGAAAATATATCGTTCTGGCAAATGTTATGCCAGAATTTTATACCAGATCGAATTTTACAATTTTTTGCTTGGTTTTAAACGAAATCTGAAGAAAACGTTTACTTACGATACCCGTAATTGACAAGCGCACAAACATGATGTGATATTGCATACGGACCAGCTGTAGGGCGCTTGGCGACTCGTTCTTTTATAATTCCCCAGCGCCAGCTTCTGTTTCTGTTACTGCTAAACGTCGAATTGTCACTACTTGAACGAATCTGGCAGCACATTCCTTTGACCATTGTCAATAAGAAAAATATAAAATACACGTGCTTGCGCCGTTGAATGCTGTTTGCCATAAGTTCATAACCTCTCACTTTAACCACTTTAAAGCGGCAGTGTCACCCGCTGCGCATCCGTTCTGCGCATAACAAACCGATTTTCGAAATATGTCGGAAAAGGTCGGAATCGCAACATTCCGACTATAAAAATGTGCATATATTCACATTTTCAGCGGCGGAAAAGACCAAATAATTGCTTCATTTCATACAGGTTAACAATTATAGTTGTAAAAGTTCATGTGCCACCAAAAGAAACGAGAACAGTAACCGAGGTTGCCCGCGTAAGGCAAATATTAAAGAACGTTGTGTATTCTGTCAGCTGCAAGTGTGGAGAACTCGCAAAACTCCTCAGTCTCCTTGCAAGAATAGGGTATGTGTGCGAATCAAATGTACTTGACGGTATCTTTTACTGTATTTGTGTTTGCATATTATACCACATTATATTTACTGTTTATCCTACTTTGTTGTAGGAGAACGTTTGCGAAAGTACCACGTATTTCCGTGGTCTGACACAGCGTGCAACTGTCAACACTGAGAAAATGATGATATTAATACTGTAAGGTTTGTGAATTTCTAATACTTCTTATTAAATTGTTTAAAACGTTTTTAAAATGAGGTACTGTATATTAAACATGTTTGAAGATGCGGTGCAGTCCGTATGTAAACAAAGGCTTTGTTTACATTTTAGTATCCAAAATACTGAATTTTATTGGACGACTATTTATATTTTCATGATTCTGGAGTATAATAAATTATCAAGACACAACGATCAAGCTTTGCAGGAATATAAAATGAAATAAAAACCTAAATAAACTGTTTGTATAATAAAAAGAGGCCTCCTGTGAGCACATGCGCAGATCTGACTGTACTGCATCTTTAATTAAGTTGAATACTTTGGTTGAAACTGTTGAATGGTGATACCAGGGGCAAAACTAGCCCTTTTAATTTGGGGGGGGGGGGTCTGCTAGAATTGCCCTGCCAATCCAGATGATCTGACCTGCCAATCCAGATGATTTGAACTTTGGGGGTCACCCCCCCCCACCCCCCATAAAGTTTCGTCCTAGGTGATACAGTATAAAGTCTAATTGGGAAGTGATGGCACAGACTGAAATTTGAAACGGGAAATAATTTGGCAAAGGCAGATTGCCGACCTGTCAGGACATCATGTCAAGGCAGCAGATTAACATGCTGTAGACCTGTTTGCCAATGGCAAATTGTTGCTGATCTGATTTTTCCTATTTCAGATGGCCTGAATATTAGCCAAATGACACATAATTATATATTTATATAAGTGAAATATCCCAACATTTTGTATAATAGCTATTTGGTAAATAAAAATAACGAACCCCTTAACCTTAAGCTAATTGCAATGCATATGGGGCTTGTGCATGTGAACAGTGTATCAGGCCATTTCGTTGTTCTTACCAAAAGCTTTGCTTTGAGACCAAAGCTAGGCTTTGTGATGGAAACAATAGCATGACTTCAACCTATACAAGACCAATTATCTTGCTTTGATGCTAGAAATTGTTAAAGCTGTTGGATGGTCATTTCATTATTTTATTATAAAATACATTATTAAATTCACAGGCATTTATTCATACCCTGGATGAAGACACAGTGAGAAAACTGGCAATTAGAAGCCTAAGAAGAGGAATAAGGAGTACGGATTATGTTCACACATGGGCTCGGCATGGATATTTGGGCAAAGGGAATCGCAGTGTTTGCCCCTCTTGTGTAGTCTTCAAAATAAGACTTTTGACTGGAGTTTATATGTGTTACAGAGAACGATGATATTCATGAACCTTTGGTAAACTTTCTAAAGCAAAGGGAATTTGATTTTAATCATTTATATTCTAATTTATGTATGTATATAGTAAATAATAAGGATTTTTTATATAATATACATTAGAAATTGCATAAATTTTGTACAAAATTGGAATGTGCCACTGTTACATCAGTTATTGCAAAAATCAGTGTTTTCGTTTTGGTATGTCCTTTGTTGCTGGTGGTGATATATGTGCAACAATGGGGAGCAATGTGGCCTGCGTCGCTTGCATTTAAGGAAACATGGTGGGTAATATAGCCATCATCATGCAGTCGGTCCGTTGCTCGTTGGATAACCTTTGAAATGAGAACTGGAATGGACTCGAATCCTTTTTCAACTTTCACATTTTTCACATCCCACTGCCTGGTCCTTCTGTTGTTGGAAAGGCTCATGACTTTGTAGTTTGTACAGGTGACTCAACATTAGAAAGGGTTTGTCATCTGACCTTTATTTTTAATGGTGTAGATGTTTGGGGTTCTGAAAGCAGGAAATATGAAATATTATACAGCACTAATAATACCTGTGGTCAATGCTGTAAATTATATACAGTAAATATAAACCAATTCTTTTTATAATTTTTGATACAATTTTTCTTTGTCTATATACCTTGCAAAATCGTATTTTAAAACTGAATATTAATAATACTCCCATTAGAAAGCACATCCTATATAAAAGTGAATATCATCTTCATACCTTGGCTGATGTTTGCTTGTTATTCAAACCATATGAGACTCATTGTGTTCTACTTCCGTTGTCAAGACAGGACTCAATTGCCACCAGAATCGATGTGCTTGAATTTCGTCGCTGTTTGGCAGTATTTTTGCAGACACTGATTCCCCTAAATACCCAAGCAAAATAAATTGCAGATTAGTTTCGTTTACTCTTCAAAATATATTGAAAATCACATTGTAAACCCACCTGCGTCGAAATTCCAATGACAACAGATGTGCAGCAAAGTTAGTGTCACTTGAATGTTCATATCCAGCCCTTATTTTGGCCTCTTGCCACGTACTTTAATAGATCCTTCTGTGCTTTTTCTCCCATAAATTTCTGTACTCGTTTCGGTTCGAAAACACCTTTTTTCGACCAGCATTTTTCCTTGAATCCCCGTGCATGACGCCCTGGGCAGACGCCATATTGAAATTCGATACACTTGAAAAAGTTGGGTGAACTTTTTCAAGTTGATCTATGTGCAGAACGGATGCGCAGCGGGTGACCTTGCCGCTTTAACCTACGCTACATATATCGTAATATCGATTCCAACATCAAATCCATCTTTGTAGTGTTAAATCGTGTTATTTAATTCTTGCGATGCCCAGCGCAATTCTTGATCATCCGAGGTAATTAAATTTTCATTTCGCCCGCGGTTTATCTGAAAATGTTGCAGTAGCTTTGGACCATTATTTTGTTGAGACTTTGAAACAAGTGATCTCTTTCAGGCGTATTTGGTCTATTTTACTGGCTTAACCGAATTATGATTGGTTACATGTTTTGATGCTATCAAAGATATATTTCGATTGGCTGAAAGATAATTGGTCATGAGATGTGCACGTGTACGCTTTGCCAATGCAAAGATGACCCTTGATACAAATGACAGCTGTGGGTCTGTGAACTTTGTACCGCACGCAAAATATTCAAATCGATTGTCATATAATTTGTGGACAGCATTGCCCATTAACTTAAATTTATAATATATATAAATAGCTTAATTCAGTGAGACGCAGGCTATTCAAATATAACTCTACCGTGGTAAAGCGCTTTTACCCTTCTGGCGGCGGACAAAGGAATACGTTGGCTCGACCGATGAAGTTAAATGACATCGCTGCTGAGGGAAATACTGAACAAGATCGAGAGGCTAAACACGAATATTCAACAAGCGTCATTTGATATCATTCATATATCAATGTATTGATGTATGCACATGCATTTGGTGCGTAAGTATGCGGTTAATTCACACGTTTGCTTCGTATTTCGCTTTTCAAAACAACCAAAATACTTTAACTTCATCTATTTTTATCACAGAATTCGGGTATAGTACTTGTCGAACGCCAAATGTACCGGCTATTCACGCTAATCGATCTGTATTTCAATGATAAAAAGTATCTCAAATAAACAACCAAACATTATCATAGAAAACAAACCAATTAAACAAGTATATGATTGCAAAACTCTTGGAGTGACTGTTGACCAGCATTTGTCTTGGAGGAATAATACTGAAAACATTTGCTAGATAATAACATCCGGGATATCAGCTCTTCGTCAAATAAAAGAATTTGTTGAGAAAGATACACTTCAGTCTCTGTGTATAATTCTATTGTTCGCCCATACTTTACATATTGCTGTGAAGTATGGGATGTGTTTGGTGACTAACACAATCAAAACGCCTCCAAAAGCTCCAAAACAGAGCTGCTCGAATCATAATGAAT